GAGAATCGAAATATTGAAAGTAGCAGGACTGTTTATTCTAAGGTGGCTAATGAAAAACCATACTCTGTATCTATCTATCTAGCATAGGCATATTCTTTTAATTTGTATTAAAAGGCAAAATCATAACATCAAAACTCACTACTTTTGTCACCATGTTTTATTTTAAATTATATAGTCACCCATCTCAGCATGATGAATCTGGGAAGCTAACAAGGGTTAAAATCCCACAAAATAAACACCACAATAAATACATAATTGGCAGCTGAGATAAAACCACAAACACCCCTCAACATCACCACCTCATGGATTCTGCCACACATTCTGATTCCAAGCCCAGATTCATAGCAACTTCTTCAAAGCTTTACCAAAGGTCAACGGGATTGAGGGTAATTTATATTCCAAACAGCAGGCACAACAACCAAAAGATACTCTTTCTTGGTCCTGTCAGTTGGCATTCGTTATTTGCACGTCTTGTAGCCTGCAAACAGTACCTTCGCTTGAATCTAGAAACCATTACTACAGCTTTACAGTAGTAGTATCGGCATGATATTAGATTCCTCAACTGATCTACCTTGAAGGTCTGATATGTACGAGTGAGCTCTTCTTCATCCACCCCCAAACCCCACCCCACATCTACAACACCAAGAAAACAGCCACAGCATCCCTTGGTTGGCCAGGAGTAAAAAGATAAAGCCAGGTATTAGTATATTAATATTTCACTCCATGTTGTCAGATAAACTCACCAGCAGCTTTGTGTAAATGTTAATGGAGAGAGCACTGAGCTATGAACTAGCACCATCTAGAATCAGCCGTAGAGGAAGAACAAACATAACGCTGTGGTACTTACTCCTAACCAACAAAATTCATTCAGAAAGCTACCACAATCAATTGTATGGAAAGCTACTGAGATTAAAAAGAAAGATATGTACAACATCCAAATTCTGCTCCTGCCAGTGTCAGGCACAACCAGATGTGTATGAAAGGTTCAAGTTCACTGCTTTATTATATTCTGCCTATTACCAGGAATCATTCCAGAATGCCAGCTTTAGCTAAATAATAGATAAGATTCTATGGAATTTAAGGGGGAGTCAGTTCTGGACCTCTTGCAGCTGCTCGAGGACTTGAGATTAATTCCATGCTCTAGGCTAGTGGTCGCTCACTGGTGGGCCTTGAGAAAATTTTGGTGGGCCGCAGAGAAATCTCACTCCCAGAGCACCTCCCCAAAGCAATTAATCCAGGCTGCGCCGCCTACATGGTCCACAGTAATGTTCCCTGCCCACTCACTCCTTACCCAGAAAACTTGCCTGCTAATTTGCTATTTTTTTCCGACCATCATCTGTTCTGCTGTGCTGGGAGATTTAGATTAGCTAGGAAGCAGGAAATGGTTGGATTTCTTGCTTTCTAGCTAGACTTTAGATCTTCGGCTCTGCTTCCTTTAGGACTGAAGGTTTGCTTGCAAGCAATTTTAGTGCAGACTCAAGACAAGCAAATTTGAGAGACTGAGCTAGCCGATGACAGATAGATGGATCTCTGAATGGATCTGTGAGCAACTCAATCTGCCTGCTTTGCCTGATTTTGGGTAAAAATTGCTTTTTTTATAAAAAAATCAATATTTACATACATTGTGTTTTGTGAGTTAATTTTGTGAGTTTGCTTGCTAGTAAATTTTATGAGTCTGCTTGCAAGCAAATTTTATGTGACAGACTGAGCTAGCCAATGGCAGATAGATCTCTGAATGAATCTGTGATTCTGTGAGCAACTCAATCTGCCTGCCTGCTTTGCCTGATTTTGAGTAAAAGTTGCTCTTTTTTATAAAAAAAATCAATATTTATATATTTATAATATTTACATACAAGCCACGCCCAGCCAGTCACATGACCACCAAGCCACACCCACAAATTAGGCCACACCCAGAGAACCAGTTAGTGGTCCCTGGGATCTAAAATTATGAGTTTGGTGGTCCCTGAGGTCCAAAAGATTGGCGACCCCTGCTCTAGGCTTCCCCCACTTTGGCTGGGTATTTCCCAGAACAGAGGTCATCTAGAAGCACAATGCAGTTTTACCATCATAGGGCAGGACTCAGACTCTATTCTGAAAAAGCTGCTCCAACTGAATGAGTGGAGTATCCGCCTTGAGAGACTGGAATAAGGAATCACCTGAGACTGATCACCAGGCACTATCAAAACATCTAGATGAAATTTTGCCTCCAAGCCCTCGGACTTGCAAGACCAAAGACTTTACAAGTCCAAAGACTTTACCTAGAGAGCGGAGCAAAATCGTTCAATAAGGTTCCTATCCTAATTAAACATAGCTAGTGGCAGCCTGATTTAAGAGGCAGTTGTGAACCATATTCTTCTGTTGGAAACAATTATCTGATCTCTTGTTCTGTTGTGTTATTCCTGTGAATTCTAGTCATATAAAATCCTGAAACTCTTGACTTTGCAACTAGGTGATAAATCTGACCTGGCCATCTGAACTTTGGACTGGATTTTGACTTCTGTATATTCCTATTGAAAGCAAAAGCACATAGACAAGCTTTTTTTCCCAGAGATTGTTTTGATTTACGCTCCTTTTCTTTCCTTGTCTGCTGTTGATCTACTCAGTCTTGAATAAATTTCTATTCTCACCTAGCAACTGTGGGTGTATGAGTTTAAAACCTGAAACAAGATGCTTGGTTTCATACCCAGATCTGAATCCCAACTGAAAGGGGTACAGATAATTTGCTTCCATGTTAATCTTCTAAAAAAAAACCCACCACCCTTCTCTTTTAAAGAGCCAATACCATCACCCTTTCTCTCAAAGAATTCACCATGGTTAAAATCCAATCACGTCACTTTGCAATATATGTATCTAAATATACAGATGGTTGAGCTAGTGTAGGTAGTCTTCAGTTATTATCCATTCATTCAGTTAATATTTGAAGTTATGAAGGCACTGAATGAAATTTTCAGCCAGTCCTCCAAGTTGTGGCTATCACAGAGTCCTGCGGTCATGACTGCCATTTGAAACCTTCACTGCTGACTGAAAGTCAATGGGGAAGTGGGCAGGTTGCAAATGGTGATTACACGGCACTGTGTCTAACAACTGGAACTGCTTAACTACTATTGTAATGGATCAGTGTAGTCATACGGCATTGTACATTATGACTCCATTGCTTAGTGATGGAATTACTGGTTCCAATTACTATTGTTAGCATTTACTCTCCTAAGGCATACTTAACTCATCTTGAGGGCCTTTACTCTGGCACATCCACCTCTCATTTGTCCTTGAAGATTGATACAAGATCCCTACCCAAAGAGACAAGGCCCTTGACTTTGAATATGCAGAAATTACAGAACATGCCCTTTTCCACTGCCTATTCACCAGTCACAGAATTTTATACCTCCCTGCAGCTCTCGGATACCAAGTCTGACACAACATAATGTGGTACACAGCCACACTTAAAATTAATCAGATAACCCATGCCACAAACCAGTTTTATTATCTAGCCTTTTCTTATAGTGCTTTATATTTTTACTTCCCTGTGTTTCCCTATGTACATTTATTGTTCCTACCTCTCCATTTAGGATTGTTTTTATATTTTAGCTTTTTATATATAACTAGCTGGATACTCGTGCTTCACTACGAAACTATGTGATCCGGCTTAATTTTGGGAGAGGAAAATAAGGAGAAAAAATTCTGCCTCTGCCTAGCAGCATCCATCGGTATTCATCTGGCTAGTGTCCTGTCAGTGTATGAGAATCGAGGGCTACTTGGAAGCAGCAGCAGTGTTTGCTGTGTGTGCAAGAAGGAGACAGCGAGGAGCCTGAGTGTGGCTTAGGTCAACTGTACTGTACTAAAGCTGCTTGCTGCTGTGAAACTAAAACTGAAATCTCTCTTTTCTGCTTGTCTTTTGCAGGTGGGGGGAGGGGAGTAGAACTTCCTAGCATCAGAGTGTGTTGATAATAATATAGGAAATGCAAATGCTCTGATGGTCATTTTGAAAAATCCTTTCTTAGTGAGCACCTAGAAGCCAAGAGGAACATACGTGCCAAATTTCAAGTTTGTAGGCTTTACGGTTATGGAGATTTTGTGATGATGTGTGAGTAGTATTATATGCATTTTTTAATATTCCTCTCATGTTGGCCTGACCTTAATAAAGGTTTGATTTGATCTGTTAGTCCAGCGCTACCTGTTACCCCAAAACTCTACAGGTATTCCTTATGACTGTAATATAGCTTGCCTATAACAGTCCTAAGTCATGGCAGTTGTAAAATGGGTTATCTATGTAACTGACCTATTTTATGTCGGTCATTAAGCAAGCACATTGTTTGCTGAGCCAATTTTTCAAAAAACCCCAGAAGTAAATGCCAGGTTTTGGCAGAAATACCATAAAACAATTGTGACTGTAGGAGGCTGCAAATGGCCATACGTGGGAGCCAGTTACTGAGTGCCCAAAATGTGGCCAGGTGAATGCAGTGTGTGTGTAAGAGATCGTTGGAATTGTGTCGTGAATACCCCAGGAAGTCAATGTAACAATGACTGGTCATTAAGCAACTTTATCCACTTATCATGCCTAATTACTTCAAACTCCTCCCAGATAACCAAGCCATTTGAGCTTCAATCATTCACATAGAATCTGCTTCGCAGCCTGAGTCCAACTTGGAATAAAGATAAATGATTTTATCCAACAGGTATCCAATAGCACAGCAACCTTGCAGATGAACCTTCAACATTGGGTTTTCTAAAATTATTGGCATTTCACCACGGTTATATCATGATATATAAATTATGATCCACACACTGGAACCCACTTCATCATGATTGAAAAATTTTGGCATATCTGCCAAAACAAAGTAACTTGAGACACTTTTTGTCTTATTCTTTGCTTACTTACTACAATGTTAGCCCACCCAGAAAAATATACTGCAAGTCAAAACTTCACAATTTAATACATGGTGAATTTGTGCTTTATTACCTCCAACAGAAAGTGTGTTGCTCAAAATAATGGCCCATAGCAAGAGTGTCATGGCTGTGACTTTTAATTAGAGTAACAGAAGATAAAGAGACTGGAAATACCAGTTACGATATGTTGCTTTGAAAAAAGGAAACAGGTTATATGGAAATAGCTAAAAGGGAAAAGGCAACACTATGTTAACTGAGCCAAGTCAACAATTATGGTTTGTTGTTCACATAAATCCAGTAAACCAGAACCAGAAAGTTTTGGTCTTAATTCCACGGGTGGCCTGCTATTGGGAGGAAATGACTTTTCCCCCGCTAACCCTTTGTTCCAGATATTGTCAGCTGTAATAATTGTTACAAAGATTATATCACAGGGTAGATGGAGAATCACAAATTATTCACAGGATAGACTACAAATTACAACTTGTAGTCATAAAGCTACAGCTTTGAAGTGAAATGTTGCCTTTCTGTTACTGTAGAACGTTGAGATTGTTCACCTCTTTCAAAGATAGCTACCGAAGTTATGTTCAAAGCATTGCAGACTTAGAGACTTACATAAAGTGTGCCCTCTTGTGGTGGAATTATTAGCAAAACATTACTTGATGTATCTCAATGCGGGCATGTTGTTTGAAGATTAGAAACATTCTGAATATGCTTAAAATTATCACGCATTTCCATGATATATTTTATTATGCCATCCGACAAGTTCTTCATATCTGAAAGTATAGCAAGCATTAAACAAGTTTAATGTTTTGAGCAAAATTCAGAAAGGGAGACCTGTGATCCCCCCCCACCAGCTTTCCTTTTGAGTAACATCTGACATAATGTTTCTCAACACTGACTCCACAGATTAACTGTAAATCAATGAAACCTACAAATTCCAAACCAATAGTCCAAACAATTGGGATAGATAGATAGATAGATAGATAGATAGATAGATAGATAGATAGATAGATAGA